ATCCCTCCCTGGTCAGACCCTGCTGTCCTTGCACTGCACCCGGCAGTTCTGCAGGAGGACACAGATCATTCCCTGGCATCCCTTCCTTCCGGAGCCACTCTTCACTCGGGATCCAGCTGGACTTCCAGGAGATGCTCTCTGGCATTCCCTGGGCCCGAGGGCGTCTCACAGAAGATAATCCACAAATTCTTCTGGTTTTCCTTTTTTCATTTAGCGCGTGCCACGCCTGATTGCAGAATAACCAAAATCCAGGTAAATCCAGTTTGCAGAACTCCCCGAGTCCCCGCAGAGCTGGAACCAAACCCAAACCCAGCCCCAACAAATCCGATTTGTTTCATTATTTCCAAGCCACCTCCCAGAGCTGCTTACATGTCCTGCCAGTACGGCTCTGGGGATGTTTTCCAGTTCCTGGTGAGAACAATGGGATGCACCAAAACCCCTGGCATTCTGTGCCACCTCCATCTCAGCGTGCCAGCGTGGGCATCCCGTCCTGCAGGTGCCAGCTGTGGACACACCTCCAAATCTCCACCTTGTCCTCTCCAAGCCAGCCCTGACCAAGAAACCCCTCCAGGATGGGAACACGGATGTGCTGTCACTGGCAGAGGGAGCTTGTTCCCCTCTGTGCCATCAGCTGGACTTTCCTGATTTTTATCTGACATATTTTGCTCTGGATCTGCAGAGAAATTCCTTTGCACCATCCCAAAACCCCGTTTTTAGCTTTGGTGTTGGAGCCTGAGAAAGTGAGGGCTCACAAATCTCATTCCCCTCTCAGTTTTCCCCGTTTTCTCCATCCTTTCTCTGCTGTTAACTCCCTCATCTCAGAGGATTCCAGGTGATTTAAAAGGAGAATTTCTCAGAATTACCTGGGTTGGAAGGAACCTCTGGAGATGCTCCTGAAGCAGGATTGTGTCCTGAGGGGAAACTCCTCTTCCAAGGATGGAGATCCCTGCCCCAGAGTTTGGCCACCCTACAGAATTAAATCTGTTTTCCTGGGTTCTGTTTACCCAAATAAATGGATTCAGGAGTCACAAACTCCTCACACCTTCCCCTCGTGCTGAGTGCTGGGAGACAGCCTCGGGATTTAAAACATTAATTGCAATTCCAAACCTGTTAGTTCTCTTTTTTTGGTCCAAAGCTGAATGAGATATTTAGAACTTCAACTGGGCCCTTCATTTTGCCATTTTCCCAGAGGAAAATACCAATATTTCCATGTTTTCCCAGTAAAACTGCCCATTATTTTGTTCCATTCTGTGTGTACATCTCTGTGACATTTAACTAGGAAACCTGGTGACCTGCCAGAGCCTTTTCCCGGTGATTTCCAGTAAATGTTTTAAAATTTAATTTCATTTCCTCATTTTGTTTTTAAATTTAGAACACAAATTTAGAATTTATTTTAGAATCCAAATTATATTTTAATATCAGAATAATAATATCAGAATAAAAGAGGATGTAGCTACATCAGAAAAAAAGTTGCTAGGTGTATTCTGAAGTTATTATTTTTTATTTAACACTGCAATAAATACTATTTCTGGATCAAAACAGAGTGTGGCTTTATCCTGAATACTTGGCAAGTTCCAGCTACTTCCAGCTGGAATTCCAGTCTCTCTCCTGTTATGTCTTTTTGTCTGTAATATTAACAGCATTAAGCACCAGGAACTTTTCTGCCATGCAAGAAATTGTGGGATCAGGGCCTGGCTAGAGCGGGAATTAGGTTAAAACATCAAACATTAGGGAATTCCCAGCTGGAATGTGTCAGGTTAGCCCTGTGTCCATAGGGAAGGTGCTTTCACTCCTCCAGTTGGGCACTAAATGTGGGAATTCTCTGCTGAGAATTCCAGACTTTCTGTGCTGCCAGGCACTGACCCCCAGGAGAACTCTGCACTGACCTGGGGCTGTGGAGCAGCTTCCAAAACGGAATGGCAGAACTGGGACTGTGGGGGTGGAGTTTGGGTAGAAGTGTGTGATATCACTGCGTGGAAAACACAGAGTTTAAGGGTTTAGAATATAGCAATATATATAAAGCAAGATGGAAGTTTTAGGCCAGTGGTTGGTCCTTTTTCATCTTCACCTTCTTCTCCATGGGTTTGGGTGGTTTTGTGTAATTGGATAAAGATAAAAAGTGCACATTGCAGATCACAGGTAGTTGGTTATTAAGTTAAAAGTAAAAATAATTGAGGTGCCATTTCTTAATTGGACAGTTTCTCCTTAAAAGGCCTTGTAGAGAGAGAGATGGGCTCCATTTTTAGTTTGTTGAAGTGCTGCAGAACTCAGGGTTTGTGAGACTGTGACAGAGACAAGAACTGATAAACACCTGAGTCCCAACAAGAAATATCATCTCACACATTTAATCCCGACCTTGGAGAAAAGAAACAAAGAGTCATTAGAAAGGCAACACACGATTCTGTGGGAAACCTGCTGGAAAGCTGCAGTGGGATTTGGGATCAGCTGGGAGCACCCAGCCTCTTCCCTTGGGGGTTTTTCACCCCAGTTTGGGCTCCACATGCTCCTCCTTGGGCCTGCAGGTGAGCAGGGCATCACCTGGTGATGGAACCCAGGCTTGGTTTGGGGTTCCATGTGCTGGAAAAATCCCTCCTCCAGCCCTGCTCCCAAAGAAAACTCAGCAGTCTCTGTTGTTGGGTCTCAAGGCAGTTTATTGCAAGTTATCTCAAAGATTTTCTCCTGGGGCTGCTGTGGTTTGCTCACAGCTCAGGCAGAGGCACACACACACCCTGACATCCTCTCTGACCCCGACTGCTTCTTCTCTCCCGCCC